ACTGTGCCCTTAGTTCTTTTTTTTGTAGGGAGCTATGCTTATCATCAGAAACTGTGCTACATGTGACGTTCCTGAAACTTATTATGGTATCTGTAATGTTCTTATGTTGCAACACTACAATTATTATTTCTCATCCTTACGCAGACAAGAAAGCTAACTTTGCTCTAGCCTTCTCATCCAGGAATAGAAATAAATAAAGGTCGACACATCTTTAAAATGACATGTCAAACTTAGTTTTTGAGGCTATGTTGCATTTGTAGTTCTTGCTCTGTTAAATTTGAGGCTACGTTGCATTTGTAGTTCTTTCTTTGTTAAATCTGAGATTGATGAAAATGGTATATAGAAAGCAAAAAATTGTAGCCACATAATGATGTTGTATGGTACCCCCAGCAAGTAATATGCTTGAATCAATTTGATTTTTCCCGATTATAATTATCTTACAGTATCATGATGTTGGCATGTATATGCGAGTCCTGCAGTGCGGTGGCAGTCCCCGTGGAACGAGCGCTGGACTACTCCCTTGGCCAGGCGTACCTGTGCAAGCACGAATGGAGCGAAGACTTACTGTTGGTGTTGCCCGCCAAGTTCTCCAGCCCGTGGTGAATTGAGGCTATCTCAAGTGCTTCGTTGGTTGGGTTGCGTTCTTTGCTGCTGGTCTCATGAATGGGGTACATTTCTGAAACTGAACTAGCTTGAGTGCCTATTTTCTTCTTAAGTTGTCATTTTACCAAACATTTGTTGATTGTCGAAATGTTATATTTAGTTCTTGATTAATGATTTTCATCAATAAATTGTTGGTCACACGAGTCAAGCTTGTGCTCATATTTAGCTAGTTTTGGATGTATGTTGATCCAAATGTCCAGAAAAATAGAAGCTAACCATGTCAAAAGTTAGAGCACTCTTGATTGCTATATTAGGGCAGCGCTGACCATGTGTTATTTTTCTTGAAGGAAGTTATTTTTCTTGAAGGAAGGGCAAGGAGGAGGCAACACGTTGGAAGCTGGAGGACCCAGGGATGGATAATATGTGTTGGTCTCGCCATCTACCTGGCCCTTTTGTTGATAAATCCATTGCGCAATGGTAAGCTTCCTGTGGCTCCGCTTTGAACTAGTGAGACATGTTGTATCTGCATGAATTTGGTCTACCTTAATAGTATGGAATGCCTTTACAACAATATATCTGATCCTTGACTAGTTAGTTTCTAGAATGCTAGTCCGTATGGAATCTTTTTTATATCTTTTTTAATGCTAATCAGCACCAATCCTTGACAGGGTGACCGTGGAAGGGATGGAAGTTCATATTGTTGTTTGTAATGAAGGTCACAGCCTAATACTGACTATGGTTCATATGAGTATGGCATATGGTTCATATGCCAGGAGCATGTGCCCAGTTTGTGATCGCTATTGACAGGAGCTCCATTTTGAAGAAGATTGAAGACAATTGTGGAGTTGTAAATTACTGTAGCCAGCTATCACACTTGGAAAGCTTGTAATATTGTGATTCCAATTGTATTACGTGTTATTGGCAGAGCAAGAGCTCCATACTGATTCTGGCTGTTGTTATTTGAAGTATTACATGTGTTTTCTGTCTGTTTGAATTTAAATATTTGTTATTTATTCACTGGCATATTGAAATTTGAACAACATGACCTTAACATGAGGGACCCACAAAACAGAACCTGACATTTCGGACCCACTTACCAGAATCTAAAAAAAAAGAAAACAAAGGCCATGGCCCAAAAATAAAAAGGCTACAATGTTGGGCTATGCCCATGTAGCTGACAAAAACTGATATATAAAATATAAATAGGCTGAATTGATGGGCCTGACCCATGCAGCTCATGAAAATTGACAAAAAAACATAAATGGGCTGAATTAATGGGCTCGGCCCATATAAACACCGAATTGGACCAGGTTGATTCTTGTGCCACATCACCTTGCCACGTTGGATGCCTACGTGGCCTGGGGAGGTTGCTAGTGACCAAAACAAGACAATAGGCATATTTTGGTCGTAAACGTCTATAACCTTCTCACAGAGAAGGTCGTGAATGTCATTTTACGACGGCCAGCTTTTGACCTTCTGTTTTTTGTCACAAAAAGGTCGCAAATGGAAAACAGTAACCTTTCAGTGACCAATAGTCAAGGTCACAAGTTGACATATTTCTTGTAGTGTGTATTAGAATTCTTTTCAAGATTATGTTTTCTTTTCATTATATTTAATCATTTTTAGCAACTATCTATGCATTTTATAACAAAGTTCCTGCAGCAACGCGTGGGGTATCATCTACTCCCTCCGTCCGAAAATACTCGTCGGAAGAATGGATGTATCTAGATGAATTTTAGTTCTAGATACATTCATTTTTATGCATTTTTTCGACAAGTATTTCCGGACGGAGGGAGTAGTATACTCTATTTAGCGATCTCTTTAGCAGTTTATTTTCTACTGGACTCCTCTTATTATGAGCCTTAGCACAGATGCATGTTTCATCTTATTCGTCCGTTCTCTCCTAGATTCGGACCCACATGTATTCACTGTCGTATAGAACTATGTATATGATTCGATCAGTTAGGTCCTTCCCGGCCCAGTTATTACCAGACGACCTGGCCGGTGACCTTCTATCCTTCTGGGCATTTGACAACAACCCAGGCACCTTCAAATAATGAATTTCCTGGACTATTCTTCAACCTCATTATGATGCAAGTTCCTCATCTACATCTCCCACCCTTCTTCTCCCTGTCGACCAATGCCACCAACTATTCTGTACTTAAGGCATTCCGATCATGTGTTCTAGTCCGAACAATTAGATGTACTTTTATATACTCTAGTATGAGAGCAAGTTTTTAGTTAATCCCAACACTTGTCACTTCTTCATTCCTTTGTTGGTGCAGAAGTACATCTCTGTGTATCGACGATACACGAATGATAGAAATCATCTGCCAGCTCGAACCAGGCCTGCATTTTGCCCTAAGAGTCGTGGATTCAAACTTCCATACCCATGCCCACTTCTTTGAGGAAATCTAAACCGCTTAAGATCACACGAACAACCAACAAAATCTATGACTTTATTGATGCACACTTTCAAGACATGAATGTGAGCAGATGAGTTTTGGGCATCAGATGTCCAAGTCACGGTCTGTACATAGATAAACATGTCTCTGTAATGTTAATTGATCTGGCGAATAAACTATGTTTGGTCTTAATGGGAGAGGGGGCATTTGCCTTCTACCCCTTGTGTCGAGGTGGTTTTCTTGGTTGGACATTGCAGCCCTACATATAAATGAGTTAACGCATGTTGGCATCGTATATATGTGGAATGAACCAGGCTAACATAGCATGCATGTGGAATTAACCCAAAAGAAGAATAGCTATTACCCATGGATACTAAACCAACTCCCCAACCATCAAGTGGACCTATGACAACAGCTCGTGCACGCGCCATTGAACACGAGGTGAACTCACTCTTTAGCGAATTCCCTTCGTCCACACGCGAGACATGGCTACTACCTCATATGGATGTGTTATGTTTGCTCAAGTACCAAGGAAGAAGTCATGGAGAAGCATGGACGAATCTCCAAGTACACATGGAGCCCCAAGAAGAAGATAGAGAAAGAGGAACCCCAAGGCGTGAACAACCGAAGGCCTTCGGGACACCCCGGGTGCCTGAACAAGATGACCCCGGGTGCCGGGACATGTGGCCGCCGTGTGGGCAATGCCCCTAGTCCCCCCGGGTCCCCGGGCCTCTCCAACCCTGGTGCCCGGGCCCCTCCATCCCGGGTGCACGGGCCCTCCTCCCAGGCGCACTCCCCGGTGCCCGGACCCTCCACCCCGGGTGTGCGACCCTCCCCCAGGCGTACCCCCGGGTGTTCGGACCCAACGCCTAAAGGACCCCGGGTGCCCAGACCTCCCTGACTCTGCCTACGCATTTAGGGAAAAAGAACCTTGTACCCCTGTTTTTCCCCCAAACTCCCCCTATAGTATAAGTAGTCGTCCCCTAGCTCTGAATTAGGGTTAGCAAAGTATAAAATATCATTTAGCTTTTCTCCTTGTACCTCCATCTTGAGGATCAAAACCTCCTAAAGGAGAAGGATCCCCATCATAGGATTATGAAGACCTCCCTAGGGAGAATTATCTATCTAGATCACCTTACCTTGTGGTCCTTTTCCTTCGTTGTTTATGTACCTTGTGGATCTTGTGTAAATGTAAAAAAAAAGTCTGTCACGTGTTTGTGTCGACAGATGTCTGTCCTAAATTTCAGCCTGATTTGCATCCACATGAATAAGAAATGGACACGCCGTGCATCCGCTCGATGTCTGGCGCTCGGACTCGAGCGTCAGCCCCCCAACAACCTCCCACCGCCACCTGTACCATTTAATTCATGCATCGAGGGCGAACCAACCTGCGGTTGGATGGTTAGAGGGACTGTGGTATCCCCAGCACACCAGGGTTCAAGTCATGGTGCTCGCATTTATTCCTGAATTTATTTCAGGATTTCCGGCGATGCACATTCAGTGGGAGGAGACGTTCCCGTCGACGATGATGTGCCTACGGTGACTCATTAATTTCAAGATGATATGCCGGCTCAGTCTTTCGGAAGTGCTCATAGGGATAGGGTGTGCGTGTGTGCGTTCATAGGAATGAGTGTATGCACGTGTATATGAGCGCTTGCGTCTGTACTGTGTTAAAAAAATTCACGCATGGAGGAGGTCCCCAAATCCTCTTGCTACCGTTTAAATAAAGCAAATCAATTCCAGCTAGTAAAAGAAAAAGATAAGCGACGGGGATGGGTACGTATACGTCTAATTTTAGACACGCATTGATTAATACATTAATCCAATGCTAAAATTAGGACTTATGACTATAAACTCATGGAGGACCAATCTTCCCCTGTGCGCCTCCACCCTCTATTTAAAGGAACACTAGCGAAAGGAGCTGTGCATCAGCGCATAGCCAAGAAGAGATCAAACATACATACAGTGTAGAAAAGAGATAAGTATCTTGGCATGGCGTTTACCAAGAGGAACACAGGCGTGGTGTGCTTGGCCGCCCTCATGGTGGTGATGGCCACTGTGATGCTGTTCTGTGATGCCGAATCAGGTTAGTGCAACACGTTTCACACACA